AATTGGCGACGTGAAGTTGGTAAAAAAAAGAAGGACGTTAGAGTTTCGATAATCATCATGAGATAGATGGGAATGAAAAGAGCAACATGAAGCAATGGAGAGAGAGAGAAACAGACGGGCAGAGATAGAGAAAGAAAAAGAATATTACTCAGTTCCACAGTGACAAAAACATTGCTTTTAATCATGCATTTTCTAATCCCTGTTGATTTCTCACATCGGTTTTTTTTTGACAATTTCATTTCAAAATACATAAGGTTTCTGTTAAGTGTATGATTTGTTCTTTATAGTTTAAAGGTTTCAAGAACTTCAAGGATAAAGTAGCGAACATTATAAGTGGAATTTCCTGTTCGAGAATTAATAGTTGTTCGTTCTTATATCATTGACAAGCTATATGAGAGACGAATGCAAATCTCTATTATTTTGCTATTTCATTAGTATCACTCTTCTACAGGAAATGTCATTGAGAGCTTAAATTGTACTTTCAACGGGCATATGAAAAGCAATTAACAATTGTTTGTCACTTAAATACCAGATAAATGATGGTGTTTTGTATGCATTTAACATGTATTACTTTTTCTTCTTTATTTATTCAATATTTATTTATTTTAGCAAACTATTCTACAACATTATTAGATTTCCATATTGTTTCAATGCATATATATATGTGTGTGTGTGTGTGTGTGTGTCAGAAAAAAAACTAATGCTGAAAATAACGTATTAGAGCAATATTATTTGTCATTTTTGACGAAAAAAGAATTGCGATAAGATAACGAGAAGAGAAATTCACCACCACTATTAATACTTTTTAACAGTAAAAATGCAATTCTTTCTCTCGTCTTTTTTTCTTATTCTCGTTTATGCTTCCGTTTCTTTTTCTTTCTCACTTCTCTTCTCATTTGCTCTTTTTATTGTTTTTTTTTTCATAGTTATAACATACACATACAGGCAGCTGAAAATGAATACGAATGCACTAAACAGAACGAGAGGTCGAACTATACTTACGAACACTATCAGATATTATATAAAGGCATAGGCTGGCATTTGATATCAACATTGTTATTTTTTGAATAAAAAAAAAGAAAAAGTAAAAACTAAGGGGTCATTTGTTTTAAGTTTATTTATTGTTTTGACAGAGAAGAAAGTAGAGAAGGTAAAATTTATCATTTATAGAATAGATCATTTATTCTTCTTTTTAATTAGCTTAAATATGGATGAAAAACATGATCAAACTATAGCAATGCTCAATGATGAAAATCATCCACCACAAACAAGAAATGATGATAATCGATCACCATTAACAAAAGTAATTTCAAAAACAAAAAAAAAAGTTTTTTTTAAATTTTGATATTTGACATTTTTTTTTCTTTGGAAAATTATTATTAGTGTTGCTCAGCTTTTCTTGGTCCTTTACGTAATAATTTACTTCTTACATTGACCATTGCCGGTGTTTTTTTGGGTTTCTTGCTTGGATTTCTTGTTCGTATGTCAAGCCCATCCACCGAAACGATTATGATTCTTTCGTTTCCCGGTGACATTCTTATGCGTATGCTGAAAATGCTTATTCTACCTCTTATTACATCCAGTCTTATAACTGGTATGTCATAAAAATTATTTTTTTTTCTTTTGTTCATTATCATTTTCTGTTGAAAAAAATAGGTTTAGCTGTACTTGATCCAAAGTCGAGTGGTAAATTAGGTTTATATGCATTAACATATTACTTTTGTACGACTGTACTTGCTGCTATACTTGGTATTATATTGGTACAAGTTATTCGACCAGGTGAACGAGCAAGTAAAGTTGAAATTACTTCAGACTTAATAGGTGGTGATCCAGCATCTGATCAAGTCACAACACTTGATGCTATATTTGATTTATTTCGGTAGAAAAAAAAAAAAACATTTCGTATTAATTAATTAAAAAATCGAAAAAAAAATTATCTTTATAGTAATATGTTTGCTGAAAATATAATTCAAGCAGGACTCGAACAAGTTAAAACAACAAGAGGTTCGATTGAAATTTATTTTTTTTTTTTGTTTTGTTAATGTTTTTTTTTTTCGATCTCTTAGAATATCATCATGTTTTGGATAATGCTACGAATATGAATGTAACGAAAGTTAAATTTATTACACGATTTGTTGCTGGTACCAATTATTTAGGTTAGAAAATTTGTTTGTTTTTTTAATTGAATTTTTTTTTCTTAACAAAAGAATTTAATTCATATAAATAGGTTTGATTACATTTTGTTGTGCATTTGGTATTACAATTGGAACAATGGGTAAAAGAGGAGAACCAATGTTACATTTTTTTCTTATATTAAATGAAATTGTCATGAAATTGGTTAAACTTGTCATGTGGTATGTAATTAATAATAATTTAAAAATTATTGATAATAACAAATATGATCTATTTATATTAGGTATTCACCATTAGGTATTATGTTTTTAGTTGCAGGGAAAATTTTAGAAATAGAAGATTTGGTTCAATTAGCTCGAAGTTTAGGAATGTATGCATTAACTGTTTTAATTGGTTTATCTATACATGCATTAATTACGCTACCACTCATATATTATGCAGTAACACGTCAAAATCCATTTGCGTTTTATAGAGGTATGCTTCAAGCTTGGTTAACGGGTATTGGTACAGGCTCAAGGTAAGAAAGAAAAGAGTTTAATGTTAATTTATTTTTAAACAAAAATTTTTTTATTAGTGCTGCATCATTACCTGTAACATTTCGATGTTTGGAAGAAACATTAAAATTAGATAGACGTGTAACACGATTTGTATTACCTATTGGAGCAACTGTTAATATGGGTAAGAAAATTTTTAATGAAAAAAATACAGAATGAAAAACATTCGAATGATTTAGATGGTACGGCTTTATATGAAGCTGTTGCTCCAGTTTTTCTTGCCCAACTTATGGGAAGACAATTAGGTATTGGTCAATTAATTATTGTTAGGTAAGTAATATATAAAACAAAATAAAAAACTCTAATATTATGAAATTCTTTATGAATAGTTTAACAGCAACAGTAGCTTCAATTGGAGCTGCATCTATTCCATCGGCAGGTCTTGTTACAATGCTTTTAGTTATGTCAGCTGTGAATATTCCTGCAAAAGAAATTACAATTATTTTTGCTATTGATTGGGCTTTGTAAGTGAAAAATGTTTGTTTTTCGTTTTGTAATTTATTTTTTTTTGGTTTGTTTATTTTTAATTTAGAGATCGAATTCGAACATCAGTTAATATATTGGGTGATGGTATTGGAGCTGGTGTTGTTGATTATCTTGTTCGTTCCGAATTAGGTCCACCTGATGTTGAAGAAACAGAAAATATAGATGCACCTATAAAAGCTCGAACAGCATCAGAAATTAGTACTGATCGGCGATTGCGTGTTCGAGATGATTACAATGAAACGTCAAAGCTGTAATAGAAAAATGTTAACAAAGCTTTTTCTGTCAATTTATTACATTTATTATTTCTCTCAGGTGATAACAACTGCCTACGATAGAATCAAAGACGAACTAATAATATTATAGAACTCAACAGACATAGTTTCCTTCATTTTTTTTTCTTTTGTCTTTTTCATTACAATTTATCTATCTATTATAACATAGCCTAGTTTGCATCGTTTTGTAAACAAACAGAACAATGTGTCTGTATATAGATTTATTATCTCCTTATATGTGTCTTCTTTTGAGAACGGTGTCCCCGTCGTTTTTTGTTTCACTGTTGATTGATTATTGGTGTTGTTTCTTCTTTTTCGTTTCGCTTGTCACACACACATTTGCAGCAACAAAAAAAAAAGAAACTTTCTTTTTCTTCTATTTCTCTTTATTTTTTCCTTTTAATCCTACGTTTATGTTTATTTGTTTATCAATATGATTATGTCGTGATCCAAAAAAAAAAAAAAAGGTTTTGCATTAATTGGAGTGTCTTTAAAGAAAAAACACAAAGAAAATGAAGAAACAATTGAAAGATAGAAATCACATCTTTTTTTTTCTTCCGCCATTTATAATGAATACGATAAAAATGCTTAATAAATGCAATTAAATTGTCTCTGGACAATTGTGAATAAAGCAAAAGAAAAGAGACAAGAAGAGTGAAAGGTAATTTCCGTTTTTCCCTTGAAATTATGACAGTAATTCTTTTTTTGCCTCAGTACTTAACCAGGGCGACATTTTCATTAACTTGCTATTTTCTTTATTTTCACACAACGTCTACTATTGAGTATTAGTTTGATCAAGTCAGTTCACACGAGTGATTTGTTAACTCAACCGAAAAAGAGAATAACATTGCCACTTATACTATATGAATTTAATTTAGAAATTATTTCCAAAGTTACTAAATCTTTTTCAAGATTGATATTAAATCTGTAAAGTTATTATCAGTAATATTTATACAGAAAATCTCTACTAAAATATTTTTTATAAAGAAAACTATTAGACCATAAATAATTTAACATACTTTAAATAACATATCTTACAAATACAATACAGTCCTTGTTATTTAAAAGACAATATTGTTAACAAAACCTTCTCTTAAAAATAGTAGTATTTTGTTTTTTGGTCCATAACTATTTTAAAGAACACTACCAATGACTACTAAACATATAAAATATCTAATAAATTGATAAAGATTCTTGTAACCTAATTTTTTTCTAATATAAGACAAAATTATTTACAAAACAAGCTGCGACTTCAGTGTAATCTTATTAAGATATTTTACTAATATCTTACTAAAAAAATGATGCTTTTCAGCAATTGAATGTGTTCATCGTATTAATATTTTCAAAATGAATCAAATTCATAGATACAAAACAATATATTATTAAGCTTTTTATCCTTTAAGCTTATTTTTTTATTCATAATCAAGAATAATATAATTTTTTTAATTAAAACAACATTGAATTATCTTTTTTTATTTATTATCTTTGTCTTATAAAATCATATCAATAAAAAGTGCTAAGTCAGAAAAGAAAAATGCATTAAAATCGTCAATAATTAAATCTCTTCATCATCACTCAATTCGATTATCTAAAATTGAAAATAAAACCGAAAAAGAAAAATAATTTTCATTTTAAATATAATTAAAATTTTACTTCATTAATATCAGTTGCTAATTGCATTGCACGTAGACCAGTTAAATTTTCCAAATAATCTATATCATTGAAGACATTCAATAGAAATGAAAAACCATCGTCTTCAAATGCTTTACGAACCTGAAAATATTTTCATAAAACAAAAAAATAGAATCAAACATCAAATGTATATTTACTATAGATGAACAAGCAACACATTGTGAAAATGCTTCACCAGTTGGTAATACAGTAGAATATCGACTAAGAAAACTACGTATCGTATGTGGAACAATACCAAGACATGAAACTGCTTCTGGAACTGATTCTTCACGATCAGGATGAATCGATGCTGGACATTGACCACTATAAAAGTAAAATCAAACTTTTGTTTACTATCAGGAATAAAAATACGAAACTATATTAACAATTCAATTTAATACTAATAAGATATTCAATGAGAAAAGACAAATAAATAATAACAAGCTAAATATATAATGAAATTATTTTATTAGATGTAAATTATATAACAGATGATTCATAATAAATGACTGATTTTTTTTTTTGTATTTATACGTTTTATTTAAAATGAAATGAAATTTTATTTTATCTATGCATCTTTTCTTTTCAAAAAGAATCTAATCCAGTATGAATATAATCCTTTATTCGTACATGATAAATTACTTTTTCTTATTTCATCAATTAACGAATCATAGTTTGTAACTTTATCTCATTGCATATTATTAATGATAACGTCTGACATGTATTAATCCGAAAGATTGACATTAAAGATGTTTGTTTATCATCTGTGATTGTTTATAAAATGCATGAAATTCTATTCACATTATGTCAATGATTTAGCATGTGGTGTTATGTTGATCGATGAAAATCGCCGTCCAGGATATGTTTGCCTTCAGATTATGGATCTCAAAGAACAACTTCAATATTATTTTCATCTGGTCATATTTCATCAAGTTTAAATATAAATCGAGACACAAGATCAATTTTAGATGCAAGTAATCATATCATAATTCTATTATGATATTTAGTCTTTTGGTTCATATACTCTCTTGTTGGTTTCCATCATAGAGACATTCTAATGAAAAAATGTTCTTCGTCAATGAATAGAATTGTCTGTAATTGATAAGATAAGAAAAAAGCAAATAGATCCTTTACAAAGAAAATAATCATGTTTGCAACGTTGTGAAAGTCAATCGAATCGAATTCATTGTATTATGAAAATAAACGATGCATAGAAAAAAATATGACTTTTATTATTAATTGTTAAATTTTTTATGTTGTATTTCGTATCATGTTTATTTGAATAAATGAGCACGTTAGTTTGTATTGATAAGTAGATGAAACTATGTTTCCTAATTTACGAGAGCACATATGTCTCTTCGAAAATTTTGAGATACTCGATAAATGGCGACTTTTACAAAATTAAATTCTCTTCTACTTTGCTTGTATATCGGAGTTAAATGTTTTGACTGTTTTCAATATTGAATTATGGCAGTGCTCAGTAAATAGCTCAACAAAATGAGATTTCGTCAGTTATCGACAATAGAACATATTAATTTCTGAGTAACATTTTTCCTATGATGGGATTTGAAATAACAATAAGAATCAATAATGAAAATAAAATTCTTTAGTAGAATATTGTACGCGATGTTATCTATCAAATATTTGAAAATAGATGACTTGAATGTTTCAATTTTGTTGACTTATTTTAAATATAGGATGCAAATAAAATTACACAAAGCTCACAAATAACGCTTGCATTGTTCAAAAATTATTTTCTAGAAATGCAATGAGGAAGTAGTTCATATATGATAGCGAGATGCCATTGATATGTTGTCTTTAATCGTATATGAATAACGTCTGCCATAGGCTGTAAAGGAAATGAGTCCGAATTACTACTTTGATAATTCATGTTTTAAAAGATAAATCAAAGTATTGTCTACCTAAAATTTCTCTCTAATTAATTTAAAGGCTATCGACGATTCTATCATATAATTAATTATACAAAATCGACATTATCAAAAACACTGATTTATTGAATAAATCTTACCGAAGAGGATGTTGCACAATAGAAATAAGTAATTCGACAGATAAGGCACTAGCCATCATTGAAATACCTGGTCTAGTTACTGTACATTGCTGATCAAGTGTACGATCAATAGAACTCTAAAAAAGAAGAAATTTAATAAACAAAACAAGAGAAGGAAAATCTTATTTCATAAACATACATTACCGGGTGCAACAATATCGTTACAAAAATAACAACCAAGTTTATTGCCTGGTATATAATTTTTATATGTTCTTGAAGTTGAATCAGATTCTTTTGTTGGAACGCCATGACGAATAATTACATATGAATCAAAACCAACTGCACAACATAGAACAATCTAAAAGAAATATAAATAAGAATTTTTTTTCATTATTTAAATTGAGTTAAACAAAAAAAACAAACTTTTTGTTCAACAGCACCTATAACTGTTGGTAACCAACGTGATTCTCTTGAGTCAGTTAATAAAAAAATAACATCATGTTGACGAATTAAATCATGTAATAAATTCACATCTTCTTTAACTTTTTCTATTGTTGAATCTTTTTTTTTTAAATCAATTAAAAAACAAAGAAAACATTAATTTCAATACATTATATATTTATTTACCACCAACGGTATGACCAGGCATGGGAATTGTTAAATCATATCCAATTGATTTCTTACAAAAATATTAAAAAAAAAATAGATTTAAATTATTAAGTATTTATTTTATTTCCTCTTACAATCCCTGGATAGATAGTTTTTAAAGCATCAGCTGCTGCTTGTGCTTTTGGTTTATTTTCGCATGAATCTTGAAATGTAAATAATGTTTGTCGAACTGGATTCGAATATGATATACGACTATTATCAACAAATGTTATATTTTTAATACCCCAACCCTAAGATTTCAAATTAAAGAATTAAATTTAAAAAAAAAATCTTGCTAGATTTTGTTGAGCAATTTATAGTGCATCGAATAGTATATAAGAAATTGAATTTCCCTCAAATTTTCATGACTTGATAGTTAATACAAATTAATAGCAATGTGAAACTTTCTCAACAATTGTATATTATCGAGCTCTATATAACTGATAAATAATATCTTTTGAAACGGCAAGGCTTCATTGCCAACTTGCATGATTATGTCGTTTCACAGTATTCATCGGTCTTATTAAAAATATTTATGTGTCAATTGTTAGCACAGCATCTGTGATGAATTGATATAAATAACTCATTAATAAACGAGAAAAATTTTTTTGGCCTCTATACCCTGGAAGAAGAAGACATGAATATAGCTACAAGAAGGAAGTCTGTTATTTTTATTATTTCTTTTTTAAATGTTTATTCTAAGTGTCTAGGTTTGATCTATAAATATCTCGTGTTTATTTCAAAAAAAGAATTTTTTCATATTTCCGTACTTTTCTCCAGGGGCCTGAGGGTCAAAAAAAAATATTGTTTCATTTATCAAGAATTTATTAATATCAGTTCATCAGATATACAACAATAAACTATTATAAGGTACAATCTGCGCTCTAAATTGCTCTACAAAACCACATATATAGTATCCTGATTCAAGATAGATCATTAAATTCGGCAAGGCTCTTCAGTATTTACCATAAGACATCGAGCAACATTACAACCAAGGGTGCCAGCACCTAAGAGTAGACAACGCATTTTTTCTAATGATTCTAAATCAATTTCAGGTGCTAAACGCCATTTCATTAATTTAAGATTGAGTCCAACGGCTGTTTCAGCTAAATGTATTGGATTCATTGATGTACTTAAATTAACTTGACGAGAACCAAGACGTTGTCGTTCATTTTTTTCCCAACCAGTTGATGGTGGAATTGTATCTATGATGAATAATGAAGAATCAGTTAGTTATATAACTAACAATATTTTTTGAACTTGGACTAGGTTTTTTTTTATTTTGTGATTTAAAGACAAAAACAAAAGAAATATTCACTTTTCTAATTTCGAATTTTTAGAGAAATTTTTGGAATATTATGTGAATTGAGAAGTCATCTAAATTATAGAAGAATGAACTTAAAATTGAATGTTGTATGTCAAGTTCTCAAGAATTATCGTTTGTTTTGAATACCTGTTTATTTTACTTTTCTTTTTTGAGATGGATACGTGTTGTATTATGATTTATAACTCTTAATATTAATCAATGATCTTAGTGAAATAATAATTATGTTTCCTATAAAGCTAAATAAAGAAAGATGATGAGATTAGTCTTTGGCTCTTCTCGCATAGCAAGACGCGTTCAAATCATAATTCAGTTTCAACTTCAAAAGTTTGTAATGACAAGCTATAAAGAACATTATTACAAGAAAAAATGAATCATACATGTGATGTAAATCATTTCTGGACAAAAAACTTTAGTCCCATACATCTCTAGTTCCTGACTCTACTTGAACCCGATCGAGTTCGACTTTGGGACCGACTCATCAAGCTATACTCTAAAAGTAATAGCCAATCATGGCTTGATTATTATAAGAGTATGTTAGCAGAAAAATATAAATAATCAATAAAAAGTATCTTATATCTTCGTAGAGACCCTCCGACTCAGTGTAAAAAAAAAAACTTTCATTGAAATTACGAGTATGGGTCCGATCAGAAAAAGTTCAATCAAACGTATTTTCGAGAATCGTACTTCTACATTTGTTAATAATAGTGCCTGAATCTTTTGACTTACCACCAATATTACTAATTGATTCTGGTTTTAATTGAAGATATAAGGAATGATTAACATGTTGATGACCATCACGAAATCTTTCTCTCCAACAAATAATATTAAGTTGTTCAACAGAACGTCTAAATAAATTTTATCACATTATCAACTCAATCGAATTCCTTTTTCTTTTTGCTACTTACAGATGATAATAAAGTAATGTTAATAAATTTCGTACAGGCCATCCTGGATGTGTTGGATCTGTACTTGGATCATTAACAATAAAAATATATTTCGACTAAATTAAACAAAAAAAAAAAAACCGACATATTCAAATTCGTTTTGTTTTTGAAAAATTATACCGCTGATTGCGGTTGATCATTTAAATGTTCGACAGCTTGTTTTAAACTAACGATCGAAAATGATAAATTTTCTTGACGATGAAGACAACAAACATGTAATTGATTAGATTCCAATGTTTTACTAATAGCAGTAATCTTAAAGAAAACTTTATGAACAATAATTTTGCTGAAAACAGAAAGTCTTTACTTCATCTATTGAAAATCGTTCACCTATTGATTGAACAGGATTTAATAAATAAAATGATGTTGGAACAAGAAATGTTGGAAATGCAAACCAATAATAATAAATATATTTTTTTAAATCCTAAAATAAAAATAAAGTTTCAAATCAATATTCAAAAACTATAATTTACAGCAAAAATTAATAAATAAAATCGATTAAGCTTTTGTGGATTTTCAAGTGTATGACCTTGTACAAAATCATTCCAAAGCTAAAAGAAATATTATATTTTAAATCAAACGAAATATATATAAAGATTTGATTGATTCTTACAATGCTACTTTCAGATTTTAATGCACTATCAATATCAAATGTTTTAAATTCTTCAATTGTATTAACAAGTTTTAAAGTACCATCTACAGAATATTGCTGTTGTGGATTTGAAATTTTATTATTTCTAAATAATTATTTATGCAAATTCAATATCTTCATTTTAAGCATCAAAATTTTCGTTAGATCCTATGATATTTTTATCTACCAAGACTTCAGTAATTTCAATTCGAAAAAAAAAACTAGATTAATAAATAATATTCTAGTTAGTGTCTGAAAAAAGCTAAAAACAAAATCGATTCAGTCTTGAAATTAGCAGATATGTCTAAGGCAAGTAACGAACAAGCAATCCTTCCAATATAACAATCTCTTCGATTATAGCGTTATTTTGCAAAAAAGATTAAGGTCATTTATAGTCTTTAAGTCTTACGAGGGTAGTTCTCTGACTGATTCCGAGCTTTTGACTCTATCTTTTGGCTATAGATAGATTTGAGTGAGACTAAGAAAATCCCAAAAAGGATTCGTATCCTCATGGCCTATCCGTAGGTATTCACCGGAAAATCAAATTACAAGATTTCAGTCGGAAATTTTGATCAAGGATACATCTAATGACCATTAGAATACCCTGACAGTTTTAGCCAAAACGAATGTTCTCTTCTCGAGATATTAAGTATTCACGCGAACTCAATTTTTGTAATAAGCGACTAGTTTTTGCAAATCTAATATCTTAAGAAGAGAACATTTTTTTTTGCTGAAACTGTCAGGGTATTCTAATAGTCATTAGATCTATCTTTGAGCAAAATTTCAGACCGAAATCTTGTAATTTGATTTTTCGGTGAATACCTACGGATATGTCAAAAATTCGGTAAATCAGTCCTAACTCTTGATCAATAGGATACGGGCATGAATCCTTTTAAGTTTTTCTTAGTCTCACTGAAATTTACCTATTGTCAAAAGATGGAGTCAAAAGCTCGGTACCAATAATAATAATAACAAAACTACAATGACTGTTCAAATCACAGCTTTTGTTTTTTTTCAGAAAAATATTTTTGTCAGTTGGGACTTGTAGTACTTGAAGCACCAATCATGAACATTTTTTCTTTCGTCACTATTTTTCATATTAGTAAATTCGTACAGAAATTTTTGATCAATGGTTACTACACACAAAAACTATGTACATCAACATGGCGTTGTCTATTGTGTGAGTATCAGTGCTCGTCTTGTCTTCATCCATATCCTTCACTATTAGAAGCGGAAAACACAATAAATACATTTAAAATTTTATTAGTACACCTAAGAACTAATCGTGTATTGTCCATGGTGTTCCACGAAAATGTTGTAAGAAGTATCATATTCAAAAACAAAAATTAGCTATATTTGTATTTCACGGAAACTACTGGATATTTATGTATTTTAAAATAATATGTTCATTGAATATCTAATAAGCTAGCTACTCGATCGAAACATATTCAGTAAAATAGCACTTGATGTTGCTGTCGAACTATTGAGTTGAATTTCACACATACTATTGTGCCATTTCTAATGAAATGAATTTGAGATATGTTGACGATCAAATCATAGTTTTAAGGTTTTATCTCTTTAATAGATTATTTTTCAAAATATAATCTGATTCAGTTTCTTTTTAAAAGAAAGAAACTGAATTTCTTTAGAAACTTACGAACAGAACTTCGCTTTTACATAGGCAATTGGTTATATCGAAAGATAAAAAATGTCATTTGTCTATAACATAACATTTCTAGGGAGAAATTCAGAACGCAAGAAAAAATTCCGAGGGTGAAATCACCCTACTTTCCCTGACTAATCATATGTCCTGACACGTATGTAACGTTGCTATTAGTTCTATCTAAAAGTATCATTAGAATTAACAGATAACAATTGTTATTCTGCAATTATTCATAAGGCTACATACTGATTGCGAACAATTTCTTTGACCTATTAAGGACAAATGTTTGCAAAGTAGAATCAAGGGTAGACAAAAATGTTCGTATCATAAAATCAAGCATTGTTAATTGTATTGAATATATTGATAATGACGAGAACATGGAGATTAAATATGAGATTAGACCTTTGTATCGTATTCTGACTCCGGCAAAGAATTTTTCTTTTGTGATATCAATGTCAGAGTTATATCAGATAAAAAAATCAAGTACTTTCACCCTTACATAATACCAAATTTATTTTTTATGTGATAAGTAATCAGCAAAAATAAATTTGTTTATAGATTCATAAATAATTTTTCAAGAGAATATTCATTAGAGAAGAATTCTTATTGACAAGTAGTACAAAACGAAGTACATATACTAATCAAAAAGTTGTTAGTAGAATTCCTACGAGGTTAAAATATGAAACATGATGTAGTTGCTGTTACTAATTACAGAGAAATTGTTTTATTTTATCTATTATGGAATACATTCCTTCGCCATCCTTTTACTTAATCTTTCAGAAATGCAATACGGAAGTAATTTATATCATATAACGAGATGTTATTGATATACAGTCTGTGATTGTATTTCAACATCTGTTACGGTCTGCGGGGAGGGAGAAACGAGTTCAAATTTTTTACGCATATACTTCCACATTCCTTTTAGATCGTGTTTTACAAAAAAAAAGCAACAGATTCGAAATTACAGTCAAAAAATTTTGCTTTCACAGGGCTCTTAGTTAAGATTCTTTTGTTTCTCTATGTACTCATCCAATTAATGCGTACAAATCCACATATCAGTCTCATTCCTATTCTTTCTAGTACGACTCCATCATTATCAATTATGTAATAATTGTAAACACGTTATCGTAATTCATGATTGACATTTCTATTTAGTTTTATGTTAGTCGTTTTAAATACTTTTGTTAAGACTACGTGTTTAAAAAAAAAAAACGGCCTAGACAATAAATGACGTCTAACACTAGACCTGCAGTTTCAAGAACGGTAATGTTCTCTGTTCAATCGAGCTATTGATACTGATCATCTTATTATATCTATTTTCATTTGTTTTGTTTTTTACCTGCAATTACGAAAAATATGTCTAACATCAAGAAGATATGATTTATTTCTATTTTCTGAGAATTTGATACAATTAAAGAGTAAATTGATATTAATCAAATAGATTTTAAAAAAAAATTTTTTTTTTCTCGTCTTGACTTACTCATCAAAACCTCGATGATCAATATTGAATAATGCTGGCATATTATCATTTGCATCTATGCAAATTAATAGGAAAACAAAATATACAAGATAATGTTTTGATCAATCTCATATTTCACTTTTTACCATTTGAATAATAACCATAAATCGATTGATTCGATGAGTCAAGTCGATAGATTTCAAGTTTTCGACGAGTTAATTCATGCCAAAAACCTGTATCTAATGCACTTGAGTATGGTATAAATTTTAATGTTGTCATATCTAGAAATCAATGACAATTACATGAAATTTCATTATATATATATATTAGATCACAACACAAACAATATAAATAAATCAAGTGATTCAAACATAAAAGACCGGTGTTTATCTAAGTGTAGTACATAATTAAAGAAATTTGTTTTCATTCTTCATTGTCATATTTATTAATTATCTAATTTTAATATATCTTTAACTGTATTTGTTTCAACAGCTGATAATAAACCATCAAAATCACAACAATATTCGTCATTAATAAATATTTGTGGTAAATTTAATGTTTTGTTTGATGAAGTTAATGTACGTTGTAAAAATTCTTTTTCATTTACATTTTTTGGGTCACTAACATCAATATCAATATAATCTATTTTATTGGCGTCTAAGATATGTTTTAATTTTCGTTGATTACCAATTATTAATTGATTACTAGTTATACTTGTCATATAAACTTTGATTGTCATTTTTTTCGATTGTCTAAAAACAAAAAGCCTAAAATAACTTAATAATATTTCAATATAATATGATGATATGAAACGATGTTCTTACGTATAGATTAAATATAAAACATTTCTGAGAATCTTTATATTAAAAAAAAAACGAGTCAAGTACTCTTGCTGGAAACATAATTATAATTGCAAAAACAAACTTACTATGCATAATTAAATAAATTATGTCAGATGAGAATATGAGAAGTTATACTCATGTAAGGACTCGACTCGTTTTGATTACAAGAGAAGGTCAAACAAAACTTAAGCTTGTAACTAAAGTCGACGTAAACGAAACATTTATGCATAAGCATATATTTGACAGATACTGAAAATGTATACTTGTAGAAATAAAGGCATGAAAATATTATTAAGAATGATTTGTATTTAGTTCGAATATTTTCAAGATTTTATTCACACTGATAAAAAAACAGCTCAATAAATAATGACATCATTTTTTTTTTGTAGAAATATTTATAAATTTTTATAGATACTCATGGTAATGTATAATATGTTGGCTTTCTATTAATCAAATATCAAGCATTGTAAAATTCATAGTTATGAACAAATATACGGCTGTCATAAAAATTTTTCAATGTTGTTAGATTTCAATCAATAAGAAAAAAAAATAATTTTAATTTTTGAAGGTTGTTTTATATATATGATTAACTTCAATAAAATTGGATTTGTTAATATTAATTGTTTATTTATTCTATGACAAAATTCTTTTTTACAAAAATGAAAATGAGAAGGAGAAAACATTAATGATTGAATATAAGAATTGAACCAATCATATTACACATGCTAAAATGGCGACATTTATATTGAGAAAAAAATTCAATGAAACTTCTAAAAAAAAGACAAATCGAAGAGATTTAAAAATAGCTATTTTTCTTCAAATGGAATAAACTTGTTGATTTTTTTTCTTCTAGAATAAATATATTGATTAAAGCATGAGTCATAAAGACATAGCAAACATAGAGAACAAGAAAGAAATAGAATGCTCTCGTGCAAGCATATTCGACTTGTTTATGCTTCTATTTAAGTACTTTGATATTTTTTTTTATCATAAGTAAAACTACTTTCATCATTAATTGATAAAACATTTCAGAAATAACTAATATTTTCTTTTTCTTACATTTAAGATTTCATTTAGACATAAAGTGTGCGTGTGTGAGTGTGTGAGTTCGTTTTTTCTAGTCATGCGTTTCTATTGTCATTGTCTCAATGTTAATATTGATGTATTAGAAATAAATGATGATCACGAGACGATAGCACGTACGAACATTTTATTAAATTTTATATAGTTAAAATAAATCTTTATTTCTTTTTTGAAAATAGAATTTGTACCCATTGATTTAGTACAAGTTGTCAATATACAACATGAATGGTTTCTATGCGATGTACCATCCGATCAATCGGTACATATTACATGGCAAAGTCTTCTTCAATCAATACCTGTGCGTGACATGAAATTGAACCGGTGCTTAGGATGTCATTTATATACACATGTTACAAATATTGCTCCAAGTCGAATGTTAATTAATAAAGATCTTCTTGTATGATTGAATAAGAATTGATTTCTTTTTTCATTAATACGAAAAAAATTATGAATGTAACATTTTTAGGATGAAACAGCAGCTAACACCGTATATCATGATCCTAGTTATTCGAACATAGCAAAAATCGTGTTACCAAACAAGATGAACAGTATAAACATGCCACGTTTATCTAGTTCACAAGGTAAAATAACTAAACAAAAGAAGGAATTTACGTCGTTTTTTTTTCTTTAAGATGAAATTGTTCAACGTGAATGTGAATTAGCTCAACGAATGTGTCGTCAATCAATAGAAGATATAGAACGAGAAACAGAAGAAAAAATTCGGTAATAAGTTTTATCTATTGAAAATTGAAAATTGTTTCTTTTTTTATGTTGTCTTTTTTATTAAATAGAATGTATCAACGAGAACAAGAAGAATTATTACAGAAAAACACAGAAAAATTCAATAAAGAATTAGATAAGGTTTTAAGGTAAATTTAAGCGATAGAATCACAATTTAAGTTAAAAAATATCTAAAATCAAGTCAAAAAACTATTCCCGTTAATGAACATTTTATATTCGAATAATCTTTGCTAATAATTTGTTTTTTCTATAGTATAATGCGATCAGCATCTCGACATGCATCAAATACAAAAGGATCGCCAACATTACAAACATCAAGCTCATATATAAATGAAAATAGGTATTTTAACAAAAAAGAAAACATAAAGTCTTTCATATTAGTTGAATATCTTTGCCTTTTTTTTTCTAAATAGTACGGAATCAGGATTTGGTTCAGATATTTTTGATTTAAATGCAACAGATTTTGGTCGACATTCAACAGCTATGGAACGAGTAAAAACTTTTATTTGAAATATTTCTTTATGTTATTTGGCTTCTTTATTCTAGACATTATCTGAACGAAATTCAAATTTAGATGATGAAACAAACGATGATCCTATGCTTGATAATCGAGGTAAATTAATCTTGTTTTTCAAATTTCTTTTTTTATTTTTATATTCATTTTCATTCAGGTTGGTTTGCTGATAATGGTAACATAGGAAATTTTGCAACATCAGTACCTAAAACCATTGCTTTTCGTCCTTCAGCTATATATTCCATTCCTCATCAAGTAATTATTATAATAATTAGCAGTGATCCCCTCTCCCTCGGTTCGCCAACCTTGGTGATATCCTTGATAATGATTCGATATATTTATTTCATAATTTCTTTTATTCAAGGAAGATGATGGTAGTGATGATATTGAACGTATTGGTAAATCATTTCGTGATTTAAGTCGATCAATGTGTACAGATGGCACAGAAGTTTTCGGCGATCTTCCGTCACCTAGACTTAATGCTCGACCAACGTGAACAAAATATAATTCATCGAAAAATCTTTCAAATTGTCATCTCATTTATATATACAGACATATATAAATATATGTGTGTATGTTTATTGTCTTTCTCATTCATACACATACTTCACTATTGTTCTTTGTCTTATTATTCTGTTTTTTTATTGTCTAGTGTGTGAATGTGAAACTATCACACACTATATCAATACTGTGCCTTTTTCATACTTATTGCATATCGGTCATGCTTTAAGTATTTCTTTTTTTGTTTGGTTGTTTGTTTGTTTATTTCATTTGAATTGTATATGTTAAGGAGAGAGAGAGAGAGAGAAAGAAAAGAAAAAAAGCAAGCGAGTTGTGAGCATATTATTTGCCATTTCTACTTTTTTTGTGTGTTTGATCTCTGCTTTGGAATGACGCGTCCTTTGTTCTTTTTTTTTTGTCTTCCTATTGTTACCTCGAAGTTTTCTGTCTTGTACTTTTCTTCTTTTTTCATGGTAGATTAATCAAAAGTGGGAGTAGCTTGGAAGACTTTATTTCATGTCTGATAGTATATATATATTTATTCTAGCTGCTTCAACATTCGTTTGTTTTCCGTTAGTAAAATTGAAAGTATTGTCATTGTTAAAAGAAACGAGTTGTTGGACAAAGTTATGATTACTTTGTTTTTTCACTGTATTTCGTTTTGTTTTTTTTTTTTTTTTTTGTTTTTTGGAAAGTCATAATAAGTGCAAGAGAAATAATTATACCATTCGTAGAAAACAAAAAAAAAAGGAAAAAAGAAACCAACCGATGGATTTAACTTTTAAGAAATTGAATGAAAAATCTTTTGGATTATATGAATGGTATTATTATATCTATGAAGCACTTCGTTATGTATGCTTGATTTTCCTTTTTTTTTTTTTGTGCTCTTTCTCTTGCTTGTGTTGTCAACATCGACACACACAATATATTGTTGCTTGTTTTTTTTTTTGTCTCCGAAAAAGAAAGAAATAACGAACGAGAGTATTGAATTAATCTTGATGTATATATAAAGATGGCCTTTTCAACGTCAAACATAATATAAACAGATGTCCATCGACAATTGATACATTGTAGAAATGAAATATGACAAATGAGATCATGATGATTATTTTCATTGAGAATATCATATCAATGATTAATAATTATATCCAGATTTTGAATTTAATGAAAATATAAATATTTAAATAAATTCTTAATGAAAAGATTTATTTATCGAGAAAAGAAAAGAATATTTGTTATTATATATTTATATGTCAAATAAGTACATCAACCTTTATCTAATAGATAAAACTTATATAGGATTGCTAAGAAGTTGTTTCAATAAAGAAAAATGATATTTTGATAATAATGTTGAGAACTGAAAGAAAATACAATGTTTTGATTAATAACACTTACTAATTTGCTTATGTTGTCAATATTAATTATTGACATAAGTGAAAGAAAAACTTCATCGAAGAAAAAAAACCAATCAATACTATTGTAAATCAGAAAATGCTTTCAGAATTTGTTTTTTTTTGTCGTCGAGTACCTTTTTTATTTGAATTGTACTTTAGATTGAGAGCATTGTTTATGTCATAAAAAAAGTTTCCCTTATCACA